CACAAAGTTGTCAACACTAATTTGAATACTTGAAGATCTTAATATATTCAGATATAGTTATAATTCAAACCGACTTAAAGTCGATTGTATTTGATTAGAAAACTAGACTGAATATTTTATTTATTGGATTTTATAACTCTTTTAGTCTGGTTTTAGTTCGAATTGAGGTATCTCAGAATATAATATACTAACCAAATAACTTTATCTTTAGGATGACCATGAATAGGATGAATGTATAAGAGAAGCTATGATGTTCCATCCAGGAGTGAAATTACAGCATTTATTTGCAATCATCCTTCTTTTTTGTGAACCAACGCATCCTGATAAACTCTGGCATAAATACAAACATGCGTTTACTGATGACATATTATCACATTTATGTAAATTTAATAATAATCCTCATGCTTTATTTTCTGATGCAGAAATCGAAGATTTTGCATTACGCCATATACAAAGTATCCTTCAATCTCAAGGTCGTTCTATTGAAGAATTCCCTTATATGCCTATACCATCTGAACCTGAAAATTTTTTTAATAAACCAGACCGACTTATCTGTGAAGAACTGAATTATGATGCCTCTACACTCAAACAAATTGCTGAAACTTATGAGTCTAACCTAAACCAAGATCAGCTTGCTATATTTTCTGTAGTTACTGAAGCTATTAAAAATAACCATCACAACTGTATTTTTGTAGATGGTCTCAGTGGTTCCGGAAAAACATATTTATATGCCGCCCTTCTTGCATGGGTAAGAGGACAAGGTCTTATTGCATTAGCAGTAGCTTCGTCAGGCATCGCAGCCTTACTTTTAGATGGAGGTCGAACAGCCCATTCTCGGCTAAAAATCCCTATTGATATCCATGCAGACTCTACCTGCTCTATATCCCATCGAACACAATTATCACGCCTTATACAACGAACAACTCTCATAGTTTGGGATGAAGCGCCCATGGTGCATCGCTATGCCATCGAAGCTGTAGATCGAACCTTATGAGACATAATGAAGGCCATTAATCCTATATTAGAAAATATACCCTTTGGTGGAAAAATCATCGTATTCGGCAGTGATTTTAGGCAAACTTTGCCAATTGTAAAAAAAGGTGGTTGTGAGGAAATGGTTTCTGCATGTATAAATAGATCACCTCTGTGGACACATATAAAATTAATGAAACTGACTATTAATTTGCGTCTTTATCGTACCAAACATGCACCTGATTTTATTACACAATCAGAATTTTCTAATTGGCTTCTTAAAGTCGGTAATGGAACTGTATCTATTTTAAATGATATAGACAATATAATTGACCTTCCTCCTGATATCGTTTTACCTTCTACATCTTTACAAGATCTTATATCAATAGTTTATCCAAATTTACTGTTTCTTTTCGAAACACCAGAATTATTGCTCGAACGCGCAATCTTGGTTCCGCGTAACAAACATGTTAATGAAATTAATGATATTATTATAGAATCTCTTCCCACTACGATTATTCACTCCTTTAGTGCTGATACTTTAGATCCTGCATCAACATCTTTCACCCAATTAAATCTTTTTCCAGTTGAATTATTAAATTCTTTTACCCCTTCTGGTTTCCCTCCTCATGACCTTAAACTCAAAGTAGGTTCACCGATCTTACTATTATGTAATATTAATCAAGAACAAGGTCTGTGCAATGGTACACGCCTTATTTGTAAAGCTATTCATAAACGTGTTTTAGAAGCAGAATTTCTTCAAGGTCCCCGCGTACACACCCGAATTTTGCTCCCCCGTATCACATTTTTACCCAAGCCTGGAGATCTACCATTCAAATTTATTTGACGCCAATTTCCCGTCATGCCTGCCTTCGCAATGTCCGTAAATAAAAGTCAAGAGCAAACTTTAAAATATGTTGGCATCGATCTTCGTGAACCTGTGTTTTCCCACGATCAACTATATGTTGCACTATCCAGAGCAATAGATCGAAAAAATATATTGATCTTACTTCCTTCAAACAAAACTGACAATATAAATAATCAAACTACAAACATAGTATATCCTGAAGTATTTGATTATTAACTTAAATATAAATCTAAAGTTTGATTTCAATCATTAAAAAATCCTAATTTTTTGATTAAAAATTTTTATATCAAGAAATTTCATGACACAATATAATAATTCGGTTTTTCTTTATTAATAGATGATTTCACAACTCAAAAACTATGAATAATGCCCTTTAACTAATTACACTTAAGCAAAAAATTTATCTACTCAATTAACGATTAATATTAGAAAAATTTCACGGCTAATATTGTAATTAAAAATTTCTATTACTGAAATTCATTATTTTATTTGATAACTGAAATCGAACATCTAAAATGCAAAAATTATGACAACAAAGATTCCTGAACTTCACCTCAAATTCTTAGCTTCAAGCAATATTTTAAACTTCAACTTTTTTATTAAACTACCAGTACATACTTTCAGAAAAGCATAATATTTAAAAAAAACTACATAAAGATTCAAAAATTTTACTATATATATTCTTCTTCATTATCATCGATAACTACACTAGATCTGGTTGACTGTCTGGTATTATGAGTAATCTTCTGAATAGCCCGTTCCTTACCCTTTTTACGACCACGTCCTTGATTCTTTTTAGATTTATTTGTTTCTTCCTCATCTTGATCTTGATAAATCTCAACCAAATCATCAATATCTTCGATTAATTCTTTATCATCAACATTTGAAGCATCAATATCTTCTTCAGCTATTATGTCTTTCTTAGTTTCATTCGCTTCGACTTTTACACGCTTTAAAAATAAATAATACCATTCAATAAAATATATCAATTAATTATCAAAATGATTAAAATACTAACCTTAGATATACTTTTATGAATGGTCAATAGTCTTGATCGAGTTGATTTCATCGATTGTTCACTATCGATTTCGATTTCTCTCTTCTTAATAAAACGAGTATCTATGCAATTAATATCATGAGCATACACGTACAATTCGCGTTCTATAAATTCCATCTGGCCCACAACAAAAACTATTGATTCTCCTGGACGAACAATGCTTATGAGACTTTTAAACTGTGGACTTAAATGCGGAAAAACTACTTTAATAATAAAGTTATAATCTCGACGCATATAATCTGTTACTAAAACTTCGATGACAGCGTTCTCATCATCTCCAAATTCATCAGATGCTTTTTCAACCATTCTAGCCAATGATACTTTCAAAGGACATTTATTCAAGTCAGAAACTTTAAGAATCTTAACATGTGTAGAAGTCGAAACCGTCATCTAAAACAAATTTATTAAAAAAAAAAGTAAACTAAGATACCTATCAAATGTTATAAATTTAATTACCCTTGG